TAAGGTATTGGCATAAGGATGGACCTATAAAAAGGTCAATGGAACAGAACAGGGTTCAGAAATAAACCAAGTAACATATGGTTAATTAATTCTCAACAAAGGTGCCAACATAATTCAGTGGGGGAAAGTAGAGTCTTTTCAACAAATAGTGCTGAAACAACACGACATTCATGTGACAAATAAATGAATCGACCTTACTCACACTAGATGCAAAAATGAAGTAAAAATTCTAAGACTGTAAAACTTCTGTTAGAAAACAAAGGGCAAAATATTTGCAAACTTAGGTCAAGATTTCTTAGACTGAAAATAAATGAACCATAAAAGAAAAACTGATCAACTAGACTTCATCAAAATGTAAAACCTCTGGTCTTTTGGAAGTCACCATAATGAAAACGAAAAAGGTAAGTCACAGCCTTAAAGAAAATATTTGCAAAACCTCTGACAAAGACCTTGTATCCAGGATACAGAAAGAACTTTTAAAACTCAATAGTAAGAAAAACAAAACTAAACAAAACTCAATAGTAAAAAGACAAACAGCCCAATTGAAAAATGGGCAAAATATATGAACAGACATTTCACTAAAGATAAACAAATGACTGATAAGCACTTGAAAGGATGCTTATCATTAGTCACCAGAGAAGTGCAAATTAAAACCACAATGAGATACAATTACACATCTATTAGAATAGCTAAAATAGAAGGATTGACAGTATCAAATGCTGGCAAGGATTTAAAGCAACTGGAACTCTCAATACGGGATTGTCAGGAATGCAAAAATGATAAAACCATTTAAAGACATCTGACAGTTTCCTATAAAATGAAACATAAACTTACACTTGCCATTAGAACCCAACAATACAACTCCTAGGTAGTTACTCAAGTGAAATGAAAACATATAGCCACATGATATTTTGTCTATGAATGGTTATACTAGCTTTAACTAAAACATTAACCTAAATATCCACAATGGGTGAATATATAAACTAACTGAGGTATATCAACAATGGAAATTATTCAGTGACAGAAAGGAACTGACTACAGATACAAAAAACAAAAACAAATAGATGAATCTTAGCAACACTATGCTAAGTGAAAAGTATACACTGTAAGAATTCATTTATATGAAATTCTGAAAAGGTAAAATAATCTTTAACGACAGAAAGCAGGTAAGCAGTTGCCTGGGACTAGGTGACAGAAATTGACTATAAAAGGGCATAAAACTTACTTGGGGTGACAGAAATGTTCTGTATCTTGACTATAATGGGGCAATTAAACTAGTGTGTGTGTGTGTGTGTGTGTGTGTATACATATATATACATGTTTGTTAAAACTACATCCTTTAAAAGTAAAGGATGAGAGACATCATAGAGGTAAAAGTTCTTTAAGAAAAAAAAGAACTTTAAAATACAAAACTAATTCAGACACTTCTTTCAAAAAGGAAAATATAAAAGAGAAATGAAAGAGAATGGTTAATTAAAGGAAGAGAAATTAATCTAAATAGGAAGCAAAGAGTTCATAGAAATGCATCTATACTATAGCCCAGTAAAAAACAAATAACTACAAGCTTGACACTAATTCAAAGTCAGCCATTTTCTTCTGACTGATGTACTAAAAACAGACTCAGAGAAAGACGACTCAAAAATGAAAGCTACTTTATCCACAGGAAGAGAAATTATTGTCTTTTATAAGATAAATTGTCACAAGCCAACAACATTAACTTTTAAGACAAAAAGTGTTAACCGGAACTGGTAAAAACAGTTACAAAGTTAGGTTTGTTTTTTTTTTTTTAAAGTTTGGCATTCATTTATAAAAATTGTTTTATTCTCTTTCAAGGCAAAAATATGTACTTTTGAAACAAGAAATTTAATTACCATAAAAAATGTTATGAAGAATCAAATAAAAATCTACATATGCTTCTAGCCATAAAAAGTCCAATGCTACTGTACAAAATCAAACTAATTATCTCAGTTATTGGGTATTAAAAACCTTTATCCACGGAAGATCAAAATAAAAACTACCCTAGCAGCAAATCTGGCCTATTAATTACAGAAGGAGTATATAATCTATAATCACTATAGGTTTCTATAATCACTTTTAGGTTAATTTAACTACTACTACTACTTTTTGCTTCTTTTGCTTGGCTGTTTAACCTATGTTTTCTCTAATGAAAATGTATCCCTTATATTTAAAAAAAATCTATTCCTGGAGTATTTTTGCCTATCTTGGCATAAATTAAAAAAAAATCAAAATATCAGTGTTACTGAGGGCACTGGGGAATGTTTATATATATGGTACTAACGGGATTCCAGCTAACCTTTAGAGGGAAATTTGCCAATAATATATCAAAAGCTTTACAAATGAATATATTCCAATTCTAGGAATTTATCATAAGGAAATAATTATGGATACTCGTAAAGACTTCAATATGTATAATAATAAAAACTGAATATAATCCAAAAGGCCAACATTAGGGAAATGGTTACATCATGGTTTATCTGTATTATGAAACAGATGCAAAACCAAACAAATAATCAAATAACATGCAAAAGACTCCCAATCTACTGATGAGTGAAAATGGTTACAGAATCTGTACTAACAAGTGATTTGAATTGTCTCTTTTGTGTTATCCATACTTTCTAAGTTGAGTACTTTATTATAAGGAGCACTTACAGCTTTTGTATGGAAAAAGTTCTGAAAAGATCTTGCCAATTCTTCCTTAAAGCACTTAGTTAGCCAAAGACATAGAGATGACATTGAAAAAAACAGAAAAAGTTTTCCATATTATTTGTACACATATCATCCATGATTTTACGTTATCACCTAACAAATATTCATAATTTACACACAAAAGATTGATTTTTCCAAAATGCATTTGGAAGTTATGTTCTAATATTGAAAGCAATGACTGAGCCCTGTTTTCAGTCTCAACTTCCCTAATTCATCAGAAGTTCATATTCCATTCAATTCATCCTGCCTCAGTTTCTCTCTGTATAGAATGAGCACATACAAACTTTCTTGTAAGAATATTAAAAGGAATATATATAAAGTATATCATATGTAAAACAGGAAAATGGAAAACACCTTTTGATTTCCAATCTTCTCATCATTTTTATAACCTAAATTGTTATATGTCCCTGAACTGATGTATTTTTTCCTGTAAAATGGACAATATAAAACTCCTGGTGGCTTTTCTTTGAATTATTAAAACAAACGCAAACTCCAAATTTTCATATACAATTATAATAAGCAGTATGTTCTGAAATTATGAAATAAAGGATATTAATTTATATAATCACTCTGGTATACTCTTCAACAACAAATTATTCTTAAAGTAATTCAACTACTGCATTTCTAACTTTTTTTTTTTTTTTTTAAAGATTTTATTTATTTATTTGACAGAGAGAGACACAGCGAGAGAGGGAACACAAGCAGGGGGAGTGGGAGAGGGAGAAGCAGGCTCCTCGCAGAGCAGGGAGCCTGATGCGGGGCTCGATCCCAGGACCGTGGGATCATGACCTGAGCCGAAGGCAGTCGCCCAACCAACTGAGCCACCCAGGCGCCCCCATTTCTAACTTTTTAACATCTTTTTGAGGCAATAAATACAGACACTGATGCAATCTAACCTTTATTTTGTGCTACTTGAGTATCTTATCCTTTAAATTTACTCTGTAACTAAAGAATGTATTAATATAGCTTTGGATGTAATGCAAAATTCTTTTTTTATGATGGTTTTTTTTTTTTGGGTGACTATATTTTTTTTATGTTATGTTAATCGCCAAACATTACATCATTAGTTTTTGATGTAGTGTTCGATTCATTGTTTGCGTATAACACCCAGTGCTCCATGCAGAACGTGCCCCCTTTAATACCCCTCTAGAACCCTCAGTTTGTTTCTCAGAGTCCATAGTCTCTCATGGTTCGACTCCTCCGATTTCCCCCCCTTCTTTCTTCCTTTTATGATGGTTTTATCAAATACAAAAAGAACTACCAAAGCTAGGAATTAAGTATAAACTAAATATACTCTAGGAAAGACTGCCCCCTTGTGCCAATCAATAACATTCAACAGATTAAGAAAGAACACTAAACTATATCTAACACCAGAGGAACCCAGGCTTCTATTTTTTAATTTTTTAAATTAAAAAAAAAAAAATTCTTTTTTAGAACCTAAGCTTCTACAAAGGTTTTGATTTTTCCGTGTTCTGATTACAACACCTTATATGTAAAGTAGTGATCTTTAAAGAAAAATAAATTGAATAGTATATTAAGCTCATACAGACATGATTAATTTATGACATTCAGCAGCAAATATCAACATAATTTGTAACATTTAATTATAATGGATACTAGATGCTCAAGGGCTTAGAGGCTGAATAGAGATAAGTAACTTTCTGACCCTTAAGTTCTACAACAAAACACAGAGAAAATATTACAGAAACCAGTAGCTTGAAGAGAAAAACATACACGAAAAAGGGACAGAATATGGTGACTTGTTTTACAACATATACATAGTTCACCCAAGTTTTTAGGCATTTTCTTCTGAATTCCTGGATAATCAGATAATTTCTTTGGATTTGATGTATGGCCTATTACTCTTTATAAAGCTTCTTGGCATATATAAGTGGTAACAGGCCATTCAAACATAAGTCATTATCAGCATCATTACTATATAATCTACAGTAATAATCTACAGTAGTGAACAAATTTATTAGAGGGATAGACTTGCTAAAGAAAAGAAACATTAAGGCAATAAAAGATATATTACAAGTAACAATTAAGTGATGTGAATGCAGATTTTGGATATTCGATAGCATAATATCTTTCCTAATTAATAGCTGGAACAGTTACAATTCCACTTTTACCAAATAGGGTCGTTAGGAGAATTAAATGAGTTAGCACTGATAAAACACTTGCTATAAAAAACAAAAAATGTTTGTTATGTCAATAAAGGAATTAGTAAGTATGGGAAGCTGCATGGTATGTATGTATACAATAATACTTACTTTCGAAGGTGGTCATGTTCTTTCAAAAATAGTTCAGTTCTTCTGTTGTTTACTCCAGACCCACTTTTATATGACCTAGAATAAAATAGAGAAAATTCAAGAACATCTTTGGCAGATACTGCAAAACAGAAGTGACTGACTCTAGTAATATCCAAAGTAGGGAAATTGAACCTCTCCATAGTTTTGTTTTTTTTTTTTAAAGATTTTATTTATTTATTTGACAGAGAGAGACACAGCGAGAGAGGGAACACAAGCAGGGGGAATGGGAGAGGGAGAGGCAGGCTTCCCGCGGAGCAGAGAGCCCAATGTGGGGCTCGATCCCAGGACGCTGGGATCATGACCTGAGCCGAAGGCAGACGCTTAACGACTGAGCCACCCAGGCGCTCCATCCTCTCCATAGTTTTGAATGAAGTTAAAATGTTTGATCATTTTCATCTTCTAAAAATGACATCCATAATAAATAAATATAATTGCCTCTCTAATTTAGGGCTGTTTATTATTTTTCACCAAAATAACCCAACATTTTAAACAAACAAAAACCTTACTTGCCTTTGTCTATTATTATTATTTTTGTCTATTATTATATCTTTATTTTCTTTCTCCAAGTGGACGTAGAAGTTTAAACTTATTACTACATAGCCCATGGGACAGGAAGCTACTGCCATGGAATGTTTTCCTTCACATTGGTATGTGCAGTCTATTAACCAGAGCCTGTAGAGCTAAAATGAAGCTTAAGATCTGCCAATTTTGGCATACTTAAGGATTTCTGTCTTGGCCTTAAATGCACTAAAATTTATAAGAAAATGCTTTTTATCGTTACTATCACCACTTTCATGTTTCTGCTCTTTACTCACATTAAAGTAACAAGAACAAAATAAAAAATTCAAGAAACCGCACACATGTATAGTAAGACAAAAGAGGGTCACGCTGATAAAACTAAACTACTGGCTGAGAGGCAGTGCTGATTTGCAAAGCACAGAAGGAAAGAAAACCCCAGGAAAAGCAGCATGAGATAACCAAGAACACACAGGACTTGCAAGACAGATGATTTACTTTTTTTTAAGATTTTTTATTTTTAAGCCCGAGATCAAGAGTCGCGCACTCCTCTGACAGAGCCAGGCAGATGCCCTGAAGACGGGTGATCTAGATTTAAATCTATACTTGCATCATTTATTACCCAGTTAAACTTATACAAGTCTCTTAATATCTAGTTTTATAAAATGGTACTAATAATTTCTATCTATACCAAAAGACTATATGAAGCCAGAAAAGAGGTAATATATGGAAAAGTAGTGTACAACTGCAAAAAACTTTAAAATGTCAGTTATTACTACTATATCTCATCTCACTAATCATATTCTGCTTCGTATTATATTAATTTGAATACATGTCTTACTCCCTTCTAGCACCTAGATTATAAACTCCAGGAGGGCCAAGTTGGTCTTTTCATTTCTAGCTTCTACTGTGACTGATCTAGAGTCTTAACTCATGGCTGGTAATCAGGAAACAGTTTAATGAATGGATGAACATGTCCCTTTTATGATTGTTTTTCAGAAAGCAAGTTACTACAGTGGGCTATATTCTAACAATTCCCATAAATTTTGAGGGAGGAAAATGCCTAAACATTAAAGGCTGCCCCTACACTGGTTTTCAATGTATACCTAAAAATACATACATAAATAGTCTGTACAGATATTAAACAAAAGACTTACATGTTCCTGAGAACTAAAAATATTACAAAATATCTAATTATGGCAAAAATGTTTTTTTACTCCTACATGTTCCACAAAGTACGTAAGACTAAACATTAAAAAAACAGAACAGAGACAAACAAAAATTAATTTTCCAAGATAATTTCTGGGGATAGGAACATAACTCTGATGGTTGGATAATCCTTGATTAGTTTTGAGCAAAAAGTATGAATGCAATGAATATGAAGTTATTTCTGTTGCAAAACTATCTTACTGTTGTAATAAAATAAAGGATCTCTAGGAAAATGTTTCTTAGAGTACACATGATACGTATTAGCTTATGATATGGTAATGTATATCATAGATATGTTTATGAAACACAAGGTAATAATTACTTATGATATGTAAGTATCATAAATTTATCACAAGTGAGACAATGATAGGCATCAATAGATGGTCCAAAAGTGGAAAGTCTTCAGTTTTAATTAGATGCCCAATGGATTTACCTTATTAGTTGTGTTCAGTTGTGAAAAACATTTTATTTTTTAAAGATTTTATTTATTTATTTGAGAGAGAGAGAGGGAGGGAGTGGGGGAAGAAGGAGAGGGAGAGGGACAAGCAGACTCTGTGCTGAGTGCGGAGCCCAAAGTGGGGGCTGGGTCTCACAACCTGAGATCAAGGGTTAGACGCTCACCCGACTGAGCCGCTCAGGCGCCCCATGAAAAAAAATTTTAAATGTCCACATGAAACATTAGGATGCATTATTGAAGTTCAGTGAGGTAAAGGGATGGATGAACAAATCTTTAAAATTATGGATTGAGATTAACATAAAAACACTGGAAGTTCTTAAATAATTTGACATGTGGCTATGAAGCCTGAATAAAACCTGGAAAGCACAGATACTTCAAATTCCAGAGAAATAAAGGTTACTGAAATTACTCTGAGATACATATATATGTAAGTGTTAGGGCAAGAAAGAGGGTAAGGGGATAGGTGGTAATCAGAAAGGGAAACAGAGAGAGCTTCAGTTATTGGCAATATCATTATTAAGGTGGATGTTAGGAGATCAGAGAAAAACTTGTGAATATAGCATCTAAGGACTCTGAATTAACACAGTGAAGTCAAGGTTGGCAGGAGCCAATGATAAAACTAGGGGAAGCTGGAGAGAAGACCAGGAAAGTAGATTAGATTCAGCAATGTTTAAAGAACAGTGAAATGAGATTCAGAGAATTCTCTATAAAATGAGAATTAGAAACCTTGAAATCGAAATCATGGTTGTGCTACTTAATTTACTGTTAATCACTGATATGCTCTAAATCTAAATCCGAATAAACATCCTACAAAATAACATAAAAGGTAACTTACTCAATATCCTTTCGTACTGATCCCATGAGATTCTCCCTTTCCCGTATTGCCACGAAGTTTGCTTTGGTTTTATGGAATTCATGTGTATAATCCTGCAATAAATCAATATCCAATCTCAACATAAGCTCATTATATATTTTCCTCTTATTGAACCAATTATGTATTGTCATCATATTATAAATTTCTGTCAAGAAAACTGCTATTTAAGAATCAAATAGTTGGGTGCCTGGGTGGCTCAGCTGGTTAAGCGACTGCCTTCGGCTCAGGTCATGATCCTGGAATCCCGGGATCAAGTCCCGCATCGGGCTCCCTGCTCAGCAGGGAGTCTTCTTCTTCCTCTGACCCTCCCCCCTCTCATGCTCTCTCTCTCTCTCTCAAATAAATAAATAAAATCTTTAAAAAAAAAAAAAATCAAATAGTTAAGAAGTAAAAATAACATTATAATCCCTTTCCTGAAGAGTGACCAATTTCTTTCAAATGAAAACAATTCAGTGTTAGGGTAACAGTACCACTAAATCACTATCCTTTGTATCCTCTAGTACTTTGTCTTATGGGACAGAATTATAAAGAAAAAAACAACTTTAAGATAAATGATTCCAAATAGCCTAGGATAAAACTTGAGGGGCTCTTTCTACTTATTAGTGTACACCCAATGGGGCTTATTTTCATATTTCATCTTTTTGGAATTTCCACAGAAATTTAATTCCTAAATCAGTCAAAGGAAGAAGAGAACCAAAAGTAAAGAACAAAATAATCTTCAAATATTTTCCTTTCTCTTTCTACTACCATACTTTTAAGAGATTAAGGAATATTCATTACTTTTTAAAATTCAGAAATGTGTATAGAGAAGATGAAAATCATAATCCCATCTCCCAGAAAGCCCCTACTTCCCCTCTAAACACAAAAATATAAATGAACATGGAGAGAATACTAAAAGAGCACCAAAAGGAACAAAAATAAAAACCATCCTGCTCTACAGCTCATAACTCGGATCACTTTCTTGTATTTTCTTTCAGGAATTATGTTTCTGTGTATACAAGCTTCCTATTATTTCTTTCACTTATGCTAAAGAAATCAAACTACAGTTGATCCTTGAACAACACAGATTTGAAAATGCGTAGGTCCATTATATGTGGATTTTTCTTACAGTGCAGTTCTGTAAATACATTTTCCTTACCATTTTTAAAAATTTTTATTTATTTATTTGACAGAGAGAACACAAGTAAGAAGAGCAGCAGGCAGAGAGAGAGGGAGAAGCAGGCTCCCCGCTGAGCAGGGAGCCCGATGCGGGGCTCGATCCCAGGACTCTGGGATCATGACCTAAGCCAAAGGCAGACACTTAACTGACTGAGCCACCCAGGCGCCCCTTTCCTTATCATTTTTATTTTTTTTTAAGATTTTATTTCTTTGAGAGAGAGAATGAGAGACAGAGAGCATGAGAGGCAGGAGGGTCAGAGGGAGAAGCAGACTCCCCGCTGAGCAGGGAGCCCGACATGGAACTCGATCCCAGGACTCCAGGATCATGACCTGAGCCGAAGGCAGTCGCTTAACCAACTGAGCCACCCAGGCGCCCCTCCTTATCACTATTAAATAACATTTCTCTAACTTATTTTATTGTAAGAATACAGTATATAATACGTATAACATACAAAGTATGTGCTAACCAACTGTTTATGTTAGGCTTCTAGTCACCAGGAGACTACCAGTACTTAAGTTTTTAGGAAGTCAAAAGTTACATGCAAATTTTCGACTGCACAGGAGTGCAGAAGCAGGGTGTCAGCACCCTTTATCCTTGCATTGTTCAAGGGTCAGCTGTATTCTGTTATATACCTTCTTTTCAGTAGTTCATAAGGTATCAAGTAATCTTTTCATATTAACAGACAGAAATCTATATTCTTTTTAATAGTTGTACCGAATTCTTATGACTGCCATAGTTTAGTCAATTCCCTACCAGTAAACATTTTAGTTACTGTTTTTGTTTAAAAAATGCTGTTTGAAAAATAAACATTCCTGTATATATATTTTACTGTACTCTTACTCTTTTTAAAGTGTATTTAAAGAGTAAATGCCTAACAGAAGTGGATCAAAGAATCTTACATTTAAATTTTGATAGTGCTAAACTGCCTTCTAGAAAGACCACCAATTTATGTTCCCGGCAACACTGGATGAGGTCCATTTTTCTATATTCTTGTAATGTGCTACAGATGTTTCAATATTTGCTATTCTGACAGGTGAAAAATCCTATCTCATTTTAATTTGTTTATTTTCCTTTTGGCATGTGGAAACATCTTTTTATGGTTTAGGACATTTTCTGTAAACAGCCAGTTCGTATACTTTGCCCATTTTCCTATTAGGTTATCTTTTTATTTCTATTAGTTCTCTGTACATTAAGCAAATCAGACATTTCTTAGTTTCTGTTACTAGGTATTGTTTAGAAATGTAGAATTTCTTTTTTTTTTTTTTAAGATTTTCTTTCTTTCTTTCTTTGACAAAGAGAGAGAGAGCACAAGCAGGGGTAGAGGGAGAAGCAGGCTCCCCATTGAGCAGAGAGCCCGATGTGGGTCTCAATCCCAGGACCCTGGGATCATGACCTGAGCTGAAGGCAGATGCTTAACTGACTGAGCCACCCAGGCACCCCTGGAAATGTATAATTTCTAAAATGTATAATTTCACCCATGCTTTATTCTGAACTTTTAGTTTCTTTGTCTACATATAGATCTTTGATCCATTTGGAATTTATTCTGGATGTGAGGATTGAAATAGATATTCAAGTTTGTTTTTTCCCCCCTACATAATTAGCCAATTGTTACATGTCTATTTAATTTAGGGATAACTCTTTTTCCCAATGATTTAAAATACCACCTTTAGGGGCACCTGGGTGGCTCAGTCAGTTAAACATCTGCCTTCAGCTCAGGTCATGATCCCAGAGTCCTAGGATCGAGCCCCATGTCGGGCTCCCTGCTCAGGAGGAAGCCTGCTTCTCCCTCTCTGCTGCTCCCCCTGCTTGTACTCTCTCTCTGTCTCAAATAAATAAATAAAATCTTTAAAAAAAAAATCTTAAAATAAATAAATAAATAAATAAATAAAAATAAAATAAAATACCACCTTTATCAGAAACTTAATTTCCATGTGAACTCTGTTCTCTTCTATTGGTATATCTTTTTTCTCCAGAATCAAACTGTCTTAATTCTTCTAGCTTCTTTTTTTTTTTTCCTTAATTTATTTATTTGACAGAGAGAGAGAGACAGCGAGAGAGGGAACACAAGCAGGGGGAGTGGGAGAGGGAGAAGCAGGCTCCTGGCCAACCAGGCAGCCCGATGTGGGGCTCGCTCCCAGGACCCTGGGATCATGACCTGAGCCGAAGGCAGACGCCCAAGGACTGAGCCACCCAGGTGCCCCTAATTCTTCTACCATCTTAATAGGTTTTAATATCTGGCAGAACTAGGCATCCTTTACTACTTATCTTCATTCTCACATTTTTTTTCTTGGTTACACTCATATGTCTGTGATTCCAAATGAACTTTGATGTCATTTTGCCAATTAAAAAAAAAAAAGAACATAAACCTCTTTTTCCATTTGGAAGGCACTCAATTTACAGGTTGATTTAGAGAGAAATCTTCCTATCCAAAGGCAGAGTAATTTTTTCCTTTACTTAAATCTTTTTTTATTTTCCTCAATAAAGTTTTATACATGCAACTCCTAGTCATTCTTATTAAATTTATACACAAGGATTTTAGTTTCTTCCATTATATTTTCTCAAAGGTTATTGGTTTTATGTAGGAAAACTACCTGCTTTAATACATTAATTTTGTAATCTACCAACTTAGTTTCTTTTTTTTTAGTTGTTTTTCTTGGTTGTGTTAGATCGTTTCACTGCTACATAATATAAGTTTTGCCTCTTCCTTGTCACTATTTAGATCTTGTTTATTTATATCTCTGTCTAACTGTACCACCAAGAACTTCCAAAACAATAATAAACATCTGTGGTGATTGGGGATCTCTTTATCTTGTTTCTTTCTTCAAGGGGAATGCTTTCAGTGCTTTATCATTAAGCATCATGCTAGCTTTAATTTGATATAAACATTTTTGCCTTAGGTAAATAAAGTATCCTCCTATTCCTATTTTTACAAGAGTTTTAAAAATTAGAAATGATGGCTGAATTTTTTCAATATTAAAAACATTTTCCGGGGCACCTGGGTGGCTCAGTCGTTAAGCGTCTGCCTTCAGCTCAGGTCAGGATCCCAGGGTCCTGGGATCGAGCCCCGCATCGGGCTCCCTGCTCAGTGGGAAGCCTGCTTCTCCCTCTCCCACTCCCCCCGCTTGTGTTCCCTCTCTCGCTGTGTCTCTGTCAAATAAATAAAT